GCTGAGAAGCATGCAAGACAAGGCAAAAGTCAAGTGCACCACGCTCATTGCTTTAATGGGTGCCCAAGGCAAGGCTGGGATCGCAAAAACCCCAAGCCCCTGCTTTGCCAGTCACAAAGGTTTGGGCTGTACCAGAACCAGAGCCCCAGGGCCACTTCCACAGTGCTCTCAGCCTGCGCAGTGGCCTCTCTGGAGGCTGCTTGAAGCTGAGACTGCTGGCAGCCAGTGCCCAGATAGTGCGGTCAGCTTTGAAGGAGGGCCACACAGTGCAGACGGCCGGGCAGATGAAGGGGAGAGGAGCAGGGTGCTGTTGGCTCACGGATTGTCTTGTCACTGGCCCTGCCACTCCTTCATTCATCAAACATTCTCCCAAGCCTGAGTATCAGTTGGGTGGGTTTAAGGCTGTCTGCCAATCTCCAGGGTTCAGAGATGAAAAAGGCTACATCACTTCTTGGTTTCAAAAATCTCACCCAGTGGAGGTAAGTCATAAATCCTGTGCACTGACAAGAGTTATTATTATTACCAAATTTTGTTGATAAACAGGGCTTCATTCTAAACCCTTTTCTCAGTTCTCACAACAACTTTTGGAGTAGGTATGATGCTATGTCCATTTTACAGATGAGGAAACTGTGGCATGGCCTGAATACAGGTGTGATGAAATTATTTCAGACTGGTGGTGGTGGAGAGACCAGAGAAGGCATCAAGGAGAGTGGGATTGGGGTTGGGTCTGTGTGAATGGCAGGCAGGAGAGGTAGAGGGAGGCAGGGCCAGGACTTGAAGGCTGTGTGAAAGGTCCTTGGCCTACTCAGAAGCCTGAGCTCGACTTTGGATGCTGAGGTCCTCTTCCTTTTGTGCCAAATCGTTTATCTGGGGTCCCTACAGTTGTGTGTGGAGCAGCAACGGCTCCCAGTTGACCAAACAAGTTGGGGAGATTTGGGGAGACTCTAGCAGATGTCCTGCTCCTGCTTGTACCTGGAGATAGAGGCATGGGCCCAGGGGTAGCTATGTTTTAGCAGCAGCAGAGGGTGCTGGCCTTGCTCTGTGTTCTTCCCAGTGTGAACACATACAGGCAGACCACCTGTTCCACATTCTCTTAGTTTTCATCTCAGGCCTCAGTGATGCCTCTCATTCCTCTGCCTCTAATCTCCATTTGGCCTGTCCTAGGGATTGCCTTATCAGCTTATTAGTTTAGAACAACTGCTGGAAAGGATCCTCTTTCAGAGAATGTTCCCTCCTTCACCTTGCTCAGAGTCCATCTTTCTAAGAGGGTCGTCAATGATGATGGGGATCCATGGAGAGAAAGAGGAGTCTGAGGGAGGCCTGTAAAGAGCCTCTGCCATGGGTGGCCAGGGTCTGACATGCTTTAGAATTTGCATGGGCCTACACTGGATCTTTTTGGCTGTCAGGTCCTCAGAGCCAGGGGAAAGTGCTGAGCTGCTGGGTGTGACCTGCACTCCGGGAGTTTGCCAGGCAAGAATTAGCTGAGTGCTTTCTGGAGACCAGATGTCTGCCACTTGTGAGTGACAGGCCGTGTGGGATTGTTTTAGATCTTGCCCAAGAGGGCCATCAGGAGGGACTGTGGGAGCACAGGGCAGGGAGAGGGGATTAACTCCTGCATGCCGTGCTTATCCTGGCCTGGCCTCATGGGACTGCAGGTGCCCCTCTGGTCTCAGCTCTGCACTCCCTTGGAAGGCTCCAGAAATGCACAGTGCTTGAGAAGAGCGGCAATATCAAGGAATTTGTCAGCCGTGGCATACGTTACAGGAGGAGGAGAGCCCGGCAAGGGTGGTTGCCTCTTCTTTCAGGGACCCCTGAGAGATCTGCTGCTCAATATGTCCTCACCTCCATGTGATCCTGAAACAACCACAGGGCCCAAGGCTCCAGGACCATGCTTACTGCCCTCTAACCTTTTTACATGCTTCTTTCTGCTTAGAGAGCTCAGATTCTTGGTGCTCAGGCTCAATTTCAAAATCTTCATGTCCCTTTCCTTCAAATAATATTTCTCAGGCTTCACAGGGTGGATTTTAGGTTATTCAATGATTAGCAGGTCTCAAAGGACACTGATTCACAGTTTGAGAAAATCCATATGCAAGATACCATCTTTCAATCAGTAGTGATGAGAAAAATTTCTTTATTCAGACTGCCTGGACTGCTAGACAAAATGATTTCTCCTTGGAATTTATTAAGAGGAAAGTCACTTTGGCCTAATGTGTAAAAGGTGATTCCAGAAATACTTCTCCCCAAACAGGTCCTATGGTGAGGGTGATAAATTGTTGCAGGAACGATATGGCTTCTGATTGCTTCAAGCCTCCCTGCATGCACATCTTTGGGAAGTTCCTCATCATACTACTCTGGATTTAGCTATATGCTTTGGCCACAGTAATGGTTAATCCTGATCATCAATTTGATTAGCTTGAGAGATGCCTAGGAGATTAGTAAAGCAGACTTCTGGATATGTCTCGGTGGGTTGTGGGGGCATTAAATGTTGGGGACTATATCTTGGCTCTGACCCCCTTCCTCTTGGGTTCTTCCCCTTATCTGCCTCTCAGATACCATGAAATGAGGAGCTTTCCTCTGCCATGCCCTTCTATCATGCTGCCTTGGGGCCTGCCAACCATGGACGGAATCCTCTGAAACCATGTTCCAAAATAAACCTCTCCTCCCTTATGTTGTGGATGTCAGGTATTTTGTCCCAGCAACACAAAGCAACAAATGTAGCCACTGTGATGTAAGCAGAAACTTGAAATGTTTTTGTATATTGGAATAACTCCTTTTTGCTTTTCTTGCAATCCCATGGGTGCCACCATGTTATCAAGCCTGTGCTGCCCTGCTGGATGATGAGTCACATGTAGCCCTGTTGCTCTCATGAACCCAACCCCAGCTAGCTATCTCCAGAAGCAGAGCCAAGCAGCTGACTGCAGATATATGAATGAACCCATTAAAGCCCACCAATCCTGCCCTGCTGAATGCAGACCAAATTGGCAACTCTCAGAGTCATTAGCTAAATGAAGGGTTGTTGTTTTAAGCCACTAAAATTTGGGGTGGTTGGTTATGCAGATCTTCTCTCAATAAAATTGCATGGACCGTTTCTCTAACCAGCCTGTCAGTTCAGAACAGCCTTAGAATTGAGCACTGGGTACAGTGTTTAAACTCCCAAGAGGAAGAGATCTGTCAATTAGTGAACTTCACAGGCACAGAGATATATCTGAGCATTCTGAGGTCCTAAGATCTTGCTAAAGGTCACAGAAACTAGGATTTAAGCCTAACTGATGGTCCTGCCTTCAAAATTAAGCTCTAATCATTTAATGGACACCCATAAAGCCTATTTTTCAGTGCCTCTTTAGGGTCTGTCTCTACACCGGGCTCCTTTCTTAGGAAGCCTGCTTTGCCACCAGCACATGAGAGTAGGAGCCGCCATGATGAGGTTGTCCCAGAAAGAGAGAAGAAAACCATGCCAAAGCCTGCACTAATAATTATGAAAACTAACACTGACCTCTAACTATTGATCACTAACTGTATGCTAGATATCCTTCTAGCCTTTGACATGAGTTACCTGATCGAACCCCCACCATAAATAGCTATAGGTGTGATTACTAGTTTCAGTTTGCAAATATTTAACTAACATGGTTGAGTTGGTGAAGTCAAAGATTTGGACTGAGGATAACTGGTGTTCACCACTGTGCTGAGCTGCCTCTTGATAGGGTCCAGGGGTTAGGAGATTTCCTAAGCAAGGCTTCCTAATACCAGGTAACCTGAAAACCTGCAAGAGTATTTGCAAATACCAGGGCCAATTCTTTCTGCTCTGTGCCTGCCTGGGTTATTCAGGACAACAGAATGCTGCTTCTCTCTGCTCATGATTTTAAAACTAGTCTCTGTATCTTCTGTGGGCTACTTCCCAGAGGCTGGAAGAGAGAACAACGTGGTGGGCCCTGGGTCCTGGAGCCCATAAAAGCATAAAAGCACATCTCCAGGTATTCTTACCTCTGTGGTAATCAATATCTTGGGTCATCTGAAAAAGCTGTATCTCACATGTTCCCTATTAGTAACCTGAGATGTCAGTGTGATTATTCCCATTTTACAGATCCAATTAATAAAAAGCAAACCCTAATTGATAGAATTCTGGGTAAATCATATTTTACTGTAATTGGATACTTTTCCAGGGCTGCCAAATAATTTGCTCCTTTTAGCTCTGTAAACATTTTTCCTCCAATTTTGTTTGCTTCATTCATTTGCTTAGCAAACTCTTTCTACAGAGATAAAATTCTATTAAGCAAGAACTCCAGGGATTCCCAAATTGTTGTATTGACAGAAATCCTGGTATAAGGCATAAGAGACTGCAAGTCTCATTTCTACTGTATGGGATCCTGGAAAGCAAACAGGTGAAATCTCCTGGATGCAGGGTCTGAACTTCAGGGGGGTGAGTCAGCCCTCCACGATCTGTGATTTACTGGTGAATTCTCTAGCCCCACCTGCACAGTGTCTTCATTTTCTTGTTACCTTCAAGTTCTGTTGGTTTTGTTCAGATGTTTTTAATGAGTTTGTCCTGCAGCAGCCAGGGAATGGCTAACAAGTCTTCTGGGCCCTTAAAAACCCATTAGAATGTTATTTCTTACAAAGTGAAAAACTAACCTCATGCCAGATGCAAATAGGGCTCAAGCCATCAGAAATAAAGTTTGATTCTGAAGAAAAAATTCCACTGAGACATGAAAGTTCTTCAGCTTTGGAAAAGTCTTTGATATAGAGCCCGACTCAGCAATCTAATATGATTATTAAGAGCATGAGTGTTACAGAAGTTGGATTGAGTTCAAATCCACTCTCCGCTACGTACTAGCTCCATGATTTAGGGAAAGTCGCTTAACTGCTCTGTGTTTCAGTTATCTCACCTGAACACACACACATGTGAAATAAAAATAAAACCTGTCTCATAGAATTATTGGAGGGTTAAATAAATCGTAGGCGAAATAAGATTATGTCCAGGTGCAATAACAACAACAAAAAAGTAAGGTAAATTGGCCAGGTTTATTTCTCTCTCATTTAAAACAAACTGAAAAATTGGAATCCTCCATTGGCAAGTCACTCCACAGTTGTTAGGAACCCAAGACTTCCTCTAACTTTCTGCTGTACCATCTTTAGAAGTTGTTCCTCTTCTCAGATTCACCTGGTGAACCTTGTGGTTGCATGTTGACTGTCAGCACCAACTCTCAGTCCATATTCTAGGCCAGCAGCAAAACAAAAGGTGAGAGACACAGGACGTAAAATATTGTCCTTCAAATGAACCAATATCTTTTTAGCAGATTTCCTGGTGGTCTTAACAAATAATTTGTTAGATCATTTGAGCTTCCTTAGCTGCAAAGGGAATTGAGAAATGCTGATCTATAGTTGGATACATTGCTACACAATAAAAATGTGGTTTATGTTAGTAAAAAGGGAGAGCACAGAATTGAATAGTTAACTAGCACTCTTTGCTGGAACATTTAAAGTACTTAAAATGTTGCCTGTTACATACTTAGCTGTAAATTTGGTGCCTAAAATAGGAGGCAGCCTTTGAAGTTCATGGGATTTAAATTAAATCCTACCTCTATCCCTCACTGAGAATGACATTTTGAGAAATTTATTGAATTTACCTGTGAGCCTGAGCATTCTTGGTTGTCAAATACAATTACAAGCGGTATATTGACCTTTTGGGATTTCTAGGAGAAGAAAGTGAGGAATGAGTCTGCAAAGGGCCTGGCACATAGTAGATGTTCAGTAAATGTAAATTTCCCTCTTTCTAGTCCATCCCACTAGGGTGCAGACAAGGGTCAGGGAAATAACCACCACCTTGCCCTGGGAAGTGGGCAGAAACCTTTTCAAGTATAAAGCCACACTTTGCCTCTAGATTGCCTACTCTGTGCCCGCAAAGTGCTAAAGTGAGTGAAGCCAACCCTGTAATCAAACAATACCAGATACTTTAATTATAGTTTTTTTGCCATGATCTGAATCACTGTTTTCGTGTGCATCGCTGTGAATTAATCTCTTAACAGTGGTGTTAATTCCCTGATGCATAAAGAAGCACTTTTAGCTAAGGAGGTATTCTGCAGAGAAGGGAATGGAGTTCACGTTTAATTAGTTCCTACTCTCTGCCAGGCACTGAGCTGAGTGCCTTGTAAACCTTGTCTCAATTTTTCCTCTCACAATAGCTCTGCTTGGTAGCTGTTACCATTCTATTTTGTGAGGACACAGAGAGTCAGTAACATTTTCATCAGCACAGTTTGCACAAATCCCAAAACTGAGATTTTAACCCATGTTAGTTTGATTCCAAGGCTCATGCTGAAGTCACTGTGTCCTGATACCTCACTGCCTTCTCAGACCATTGAACCAGCCTGTCTCCAAGTTGGATGATTGAAGGAGCTGGTAGAAGAGAGAAGACTGAACTGCGAGTTGGCTCCTGTCTTCAGTGTCCCGGTTCTGACTCCCAGCTCTGGGACATCTGAGGTCTCATTGTTCCCTGAGGTCTCATTTAGCAATGAGGGTTTAGCTACTGGTCTGAGATCTCCTTTGTAGCTCTGAGTCTACAAGTGAGGAGTGAAAATACATAGCCTCATTAATCTTTGCTCCAGAAATCGCTTCATCTATCAGCTAAACCTGACTTTGGTAATCACAAAGCACAAATAAGATGGTGTGTCTATCTTCACAAAGTTAAAATGAACTGGGGAAGAAGAGTAGAAGAGTAGTGGATTTAGATATACAGATACTCCTTGACTTATAATGGGATGATGCCTTAATAAGGCCCTGGTAAGTTGAAAATGCATTCAATACATCTAGCCTACCAAACATAGCCTACTGACACAGACGTGGAGAGGGTCAGTTATTTATCCTTCTGACTGTGTCTGACTAGGAGCTGTGGGTTGCTGCTGGTGCCAAGTATCATGAGACAGTATTGGTCAGTGTATTTCTATCCTAGGAAAAGATCAAAATTCAGAATTTGAAGCACAATTTCTACTGAATGTGCCTCACTTTTGAATTCATATCATTCTTTTCTACATGGGACCATGATAAAGTCAAGTTGAAGACAAAATCAGGGACTATCAGATTATATGAATATGTGGTAATACTCAGAGGTACTTTCTAAAAATTGGATCTAAGCAAAACAGCTATCGTCGAGGGTAGAAATCTTCTCATCACTGGGGAAGGTCCTGTCCCTATGGCTGGATCACCATGCGATAATGGGATGGTTACAATACTGAACAGTTGGGCAAAGCTGTAACTAAGACCAAATGCACACCTAATTTATGGACATCAGAAAGGAATCCAAAGGTACAGAGACAGCCAAATTGAGGGTGTCCATCCTCACATTCCCTCCTCCATTTCCAATCTCAAGTGTAGTGGGTTTCCTCCCAAGTCCCTGTCCAAGATATTTTTTACTAATAACATGTCCTGCAATTTGTGTTGTCTTGAACATCCTTACATGGTAGCATCCTTACAGAAATGATCAACTCATTCTCTTTACTAGTTGCATGATGTTCCTCAAAAGACGGGGTTAAGATTCATCACCCCAAGTGTATTTTACACATTCTGTTCCTCTTTGCCTGTTCTCTTCCTTCCTTCCTTCCTTCCTTCCTTCCTTCCTTCCTTCCTTCCTTCCTTCCTTTCTTTCTTTCGTTCTTTCTTTTGTATGGGGGGCTGAACTCAGGACCTTGTACTTTCGAGGCAGGCAGTGGCACCACTGAGCCAAATCTCCCGCCCTGCCTGTTTTCAACTCATCTGCATCTACCATAGATGTTTTTCAAAATTTTTGGCCCAGATTAATTTTCAATCTTACTTGTGGTGTTATTTTCTTAAGAATTTATACTCAGGTTTAAAAATGTATGTAGTAAAATCTGTTAGTGTGTTTCCATTCCAATTTTGGTGTTTACAACTTGCTTGTATGTTACTGGGATTTAAATACAAGCCTTTTGAACTGAACTACATCTTCAGTGCTTATTATTATTATTGTTGTTGTTGTTACTCTTATTAAGGTTATTATTTTATTTTGAGACAACCTCTCAATCACCTAAGCTGGGCTCAAACTTATAATCCTTGTGTTTCAATATCACAGAGTGCTTGAATTACAGGTGTACACTATTACTGTCTTACTTAGTTGTAGTCACAGTAAAGGTGTCTAACAAATAATCCCCAAACCCTGTGGCTTTCAAACTGTAATCATGTATTCTCATTCTTATGTCTGTAGATTGATTGAGTCTTAGCAGACCTACCCTGGACTTAGTCTATACCTTCTTGTTGGACCAGTGATCAGTGACCAGTGACCAGTGATTTGTTCTTTTCATGATCATGGCAAATGCATGGAATACTTCATGCCTTTGCTCACATCACATCAACTGATATCCTACGGGAAAGCAAGTAGCAGAGTCAAACTCAGTATTGATGGGGCAAAGAAGTATACTTAGATCATATATGGAGGAGAGAGGAATAAATATTACACCCCCAAGATTTTCTTAATCTTATTTTTAAATTGCTTTAAAAATAGGTTTTATGTGTACTAATTTTTTGTGTGTAAATATGTATATGTTAGGGATCTGACATTTAATAAGTGAGTGAGCCAGGAGGTGGGCAAGTGAGCTACAGCAAGGGGAGCACTCGTCACACAGAGTGGTGGGAGCTGTTGGCTTCTACTTGCCAAACCAGAAGCTGGTGCTCTGGGTGGAGGATTACACTGGAAATTCTATCCCTGTTAGAGAGTTGATCACGGAATGGATGATATGGGTCCAGGTCTAGGAAAGCTTATCAAATTAACAGGTTTATATCTGCTTTAGACCTCTGGTTGATGGAGGCTTTTTATTTAGGCTTTTTATGTGACAAAATACAACCATTTTTACAGAAAGCCTACAGGGAGCCAATATTTATGGATGGGGTAATTTCAGGTTCAAATATAAAAATAAAAAGCTAGAAAAGAGACATTTGGATAGGCTGTTTTTTTAAACATGTGTTTGTCCTGAAAAGGATAACAATCTACTCTCTTTCCCCTCCCACCCCAGATTTTGGGAACTGGAGGGATGCTTCATGTTTGTAAGCTGGACAGAACGAAGTAGGTAGCTCCTCAGGCTTCTAAGAGTTTGACTCTCCTTCAAACCCATAGACTTGAAATATTCAACATTTATGTATTGGGAAGCTGATCACTTCACGATGAAGAGTGAAGAAGTTAGACCATCGGGGCAGGGCTCAGCTACTCTACCACACTGAACTATTTTGCTTGATTTCAAACTTGCCTACTTCCTTTAGTAGAATGAAAGCTCCCAGTTAACCAGACTCACCATTCTCAGGATACAGATTTATCACAGAGATCATAACTTGTACTGAGAGACGAATTAAATAGGCCTTTGTTTTTGAGATATCCTAAGGTACATGGCCTAGTTTTGCTGCTCCGCAATGCAGATTACTGTCCAATTGAATAGCTCTTCAAAGCACAACTGAACCCTTGATCGACCACCAAATAGAAGTGATAGCTTCAGAAGTCTGAGATCAGCCACAGTGGCTTCTAACTTGGACTAAAGCTAGCACTTACTCTATCTAACAGAATGGCTGGGGCAGGACCTCAACAACACGATGACAGGATAGCAAGCTCTTCCATCTTGGAGGCCTGATTTACCTACTTTCCTTGTGAGATTTCATGCATCTTATCCCTGTCCCCACTGTCCCCACTGCAGAAATCAGATCCAGCAGGAAATCATCCTGGGATGGTATTATTTATTTCTCTTTCTTGTATACCTTCTCTTTGGGGGGATGCAGAAGGATTGCAGGAGTAAAGTATACTGGCATTTGAGATTTTGTGAGGCAGAGCTTGTCAGCCTTCAATGCTTATGGAGTTTTGGGAAAGCACATTGCCAGGCCTCATATCTGCTCTGCATAGCCTTGAACCTTGCAATCATATACAAAACTACCTTTCAGAAAAGTTCCCCGAAATACATTTTTCATTATCTCTCCATTTCTTGAAACTTTATAGTATTCCTTCTCTTGTGTATCTTGAGCAGTTTCCTACAGATTTCCTCCATTGTTTGAGTGGGGCCTTACAGATTCTCAGGGACTCTAAAACCAAAGCTTCCATGCTTCCAATATCCTTCTGAAGGCTCAAGAGCAGCATTGGGCTTAGAATTGGAGTGGATGGGGAATCATAGAGGACTCAGCATTCACTCTCTCTATGACCCAAGGTGGCCAAGGAGCCCCTAATGCAAGAGGCTGGGCCTGTACAGGGCTTTGTGCTGAATGCACAGTGCAGTTTCATCACAAATCTGTTCCCTTTATTAAGAGTAAGTGATTTAATACTTTTCATTAGGCTGTGGAAATGCTTAACTGTGACACTTTGTAAACATGCTAGCATTGGCTGAAATAAGAGAAGTAAAAGATTATTTCTAGTTTAGCAACAGGCTATATTTGGAATTAGGGCTTTATCAATAAAGGTGCCGCCTTAATATTCTGTCTTCTGGATTCGTTTTAAATTATCTTTTCTTGACCCACAATTATTTGCTTTGATCAAATATTGGTCAAGATTCTTTCAGTTGCAAGTAATAGAAACCTAAGCCCTCCCTGCTTGAGCAGAAAAGAGAATTTGAATGGGGTTAGACTGAGAGACTCCAAGGGCTCCCACTATACCACCAGCATTTTTCTTACCTTTCCCTGCCATTCATTTCCTCCTTCTCAAATTGGCTCAGCTTCTTTCTGAGTTGGTCGTGCTCTTTTCTCCTATAGCTTGGTTTCCTCCACGTAGCCAGAGATGATGGTGGAGTGGCAGCTGCTGGTATCACTGCCCAAAACACTCCACCAAACACCAGAAAAAAACAAAAGCTCTCTTTATTTGGAATTTGGAAACAAAATCTCAGGTAAGTTTCCTAAACTGCTCTGCTTCAGATGGTCTCTGTTCTTCAAGTGGATGATATGATTCATAGCTCTAGATGCACATTTATTTGAGAAGCTTTATTAAATGCCCATACCCAAGCCCTATGCTCAGGATTGTGACTCAGTTGGCCTGGGTAGAGCTTGCCTTTCTGTAAATAACTCCAATGGGTAGTCAAGACTGAGAACCACTGCATTGGACTCATTCATTCATTTCTCAAACAAAAGTTTTTGAGAACCTCTCTGTACCAGACAGTATACTAGGTACTCATAGAGTAGTGAATAAAAGAAATAAAGCATTCTCATAAAGCTCGTACATTGCAGGGAATACAGGCAGTAAACCCATAAATAAAAACATAAACAGTGCCAATAAGTAAATAAATGTTACCCAGAAGATAAAAGTAAGACCTAATATGGGTGATGGGGAGGAGGCAGCCTTAAGAATCTCAGAGGGAGAATGTTCTGGGAAGAGGAAATACCTACCGCAAATGCTGAGAGGGAAGAGCAGGCTTGACCTATTCCTGGCATGGAAAGAAGGCCAAAGTGGCTGAAATATAGTGAGTCAATGACATGGGATGAGTTCAGAGAGACAGGTGGCAGCCAGCTGCCAAGAGCCAGATGTGAAGGATTAAAAGAATCTGATTTATATTTTTTAGTGTTTACTCTGGTTGCTGTGTGAAGAAAGGACTAGATGGGCAAAGAGTGGGAAGTGGACAAAGTAGGAGACAAGTGCAATTTTCCAGGTGAAAAATGCGATTGGCTGGGCTAGATCACTTTTGAGGGGAAATGAATGAATTCAGGCTGAGCCTTTACAATTGAGTTAACAGCATGCCAGAATGCAGGCCTCTATCCAACCCCAATATCTGGAGGGGAAAGGAGTAGGGTATGATATTCAGAAAATATTCATTGAATAAGTGAAACCAGAGTCCAGGGACCTGAGGATGGAAGAAAAGGGTCGAAAATAAAACTTGGACCTTGGCTAGCCAACAAACAGACTCCTGTTGGAGATCCAGCACTGAGCACAGTGCTAGCACTTTGAAACAAGGAGTACATGGGGACACAAAGTTGGCTGGTTGAAAATTTATTTAGTGATCTCAAAGTCTTTGTAGAAAAAAATACACGAGGAGAGATACAGAGAAGACTTTCAGCTCTGCTCCCAAGAAAGAAGTTTGACTTAGGAAAACATTGCATCCCTATCGTGGTAAAGAGAGGATTAACAACTAGACCAGTGTCAGTGTAGCGAGTACAATCATTCCAGAGAATAATGGGTTATTGCCTTGGGAAACCAAGTTGAGACATGTTCCATAACCCAGAAATTCTCACTTTATTGTATTTTTCAGAGAAATTTCTGGTATGGGCCCCCAGGATCCTGACCAAGCATATCCACCATGACATACTTAGAGTGAAATAATGGCAGCTGTTACGGTTTCGATCTAGGAAGTCCCCTCAAATTCTCATGCATATGGAAAGGTATTGTAGCATGGGGATCCTATACTCATCGGTGGATGAATCCACCGATGAGTTCAGTAGCAGAATACGATGTTAAGAGATGAGGCCTGAAGTGGCAGGTCACTGGGGGCGTGACCTGGAAGGGTATATCTCCATCCCTGGCTCATCCATTTGCTCTCTCCTTTCTGGCTGCCTTGGGTTGAGCACTTTTTTCTCTGTCATGCCCCTCTTCCATCCTATTTCTACCTTGGAGCCAGCCAACCATAGACTAAAACCATTAGCCAAAATAAGCCTCTCTCTTAAGTTGTCAATGTTAGGTATTTTGCCCCAGTGGTGGAAGGTAACTAAGACAGCAATCTAAGTGCCTATCAGTAAAGGAGTGAATAAGTAAAGTGCAATACATGCAAACCATGGACCAACATGCAGTTGTCAGAGACATCAAACAGTGTATGCAAAACAATCAAGAGACCTTAAGAGCATAATGTTGAACCAAAAAAATGTAAGGACAGTACCATAGATAGAACATAGAATAATCCCATATATGTCAACTAGAAACATACACACCAATGGCATATTCACAAGGAAAAATGCATATGTCAAGGCATATGCCAAGTACGTTAGAATACATGCCAGCAAAGACAGGGCATGGGAGTAGCATGGAGACTGTGGTAGGCAGGATGATACCCTCCCTCCTCAAAGATATTCACAGCCTAATCCCCAGAACTTGTGAGTGTGTTTTGTTACCTGACAAGGGGGATTCAAGATGAAGATGGAGTTAAGGTTGCTAATCATCACACAGGGAGATTATCCTGGATTATCCAGGGGAGTCCAAGGTAATCATGAAGGTCCTTAAAAGTGGAGCAGGGAAATTATTAAGGAAAGAGAGAAGATAGTCCACAGTGTACAAGGTGATAGGCATGAAGTCACTGACTTTGAATTTGGAAGGAGGAACCAAGGGAAGCAGGGTCTCTACAAGTGAGAAAAGGTAGAGGAATATTCTCTCCCAGAGCCTCCGCACAACAAACACACCCTGCCAAAGTGTCCATCAAGCCCAGTGAAATCTGAGTTGACTTCCTATCTTTAGAACTGTAATATAACACATTCGTGTTGCTTTAAGCAATAGCTTTGGGGTTGTTACAGCAGCATGGGGAAGTGAAGACAGGTGTAAGGAATTCACAAGCACAGGTAGTGATAACCATTGTGCTGTGACCTGAGGCACCAAAAAGTCTCCACTCTCCTTGCCCCTGATTCAAAATAGCAGCAGCAGCAGCAATAACAGCAGCAATGTTAAAACTGAAGAGAGAAAAATAAAGGACATCCTCCCAGACTACAAAACCAGGTTCTACAGAAAACAGTAGGTCTGAGAGTAAACACTCACAGAATCCCAAAGATTGAAATGGAACTTTATAGGCATGAGCACGTCCATGTTTCCTAGAGGATGGGTACTATGCCAAAGATAATGGTGATTATTCTGTGAAGCCCTCCCATCCCTCCTCCTTCAGTGGACATGGTTGACCATGTCTTTAACCCCATGGAGCCTTTCCCACTCTCTTCCTGCCTACTTCCCCTTACCCCTACTCCCTGCCCCTTGAATATACTTACAGCACCAAGTGCAGTGCCTTGTGTGGAGCTGAATCCCTGTAGATGCTTTGGGTGCTCTTGAGTCTCATGTTGCCCACCACATCCCAGAGACTTTGCATTAGCAGGTCCATTCATAAAAGAGCTCTGGGACTCCCATGAGCTATTTATTCTAAACAACTTAGAGCAACCCTCAGGGCCCCAGTGTGATGTTTGCGTGTCTAATTTCCATGAGCTATTGATAAGAGCCCACTCCAGCCAGCTAGTTGTCAGCCTTGACTCCAAGGGCCTGGAAAATGTACTATTTGCAATTACTTGAAAAGAAACTAATTAGCTTTAAGGAGGAAACCATAGGTAGAAATGACTGAAATCAGCTGTTCAACTGTGCTTGGCAAAAAATTAAAAGGAGTAGGCCATCATAACTCCCATTTGTTTCATTTGAAGGGAGAGTAGGAAGAAAGGCAAACCAGGCAGAGGGGTCCCTGCAGCATTTTCTCTGTAGGGAGAGGCCAAGTCAGCATCAGCAGACCTAATGGGAGACAAGAAGTTCAGACAGGCCTTGGAAGCCGAGTTTGGACTTTGTTCAGAGGCGCAAATGGAAGGTACTGGAAAGCGGGAGTGATGATCCAATGCCAGGTTTCACAAATGTGCTTCAATATGTGTTAGGCTTCCGTGGTTGGTAAATAAATTATGTGTTCTCCTTCAGAAGTGGCTGCTCTGAATCATTTCTCAAAAACCCTTGAAAACAATACAGTACAATTTCTCAGGGCCTAGCCTGGCATACAGCTGGCCCACAGTGGCTGTGAAAGACGGAATCAGAACCTTGGCCATGGTGGGGAGGTGCGGTGGTGGCCCTGGGTGTGACAGAGGCCGATGGCAGGAAGCCCTGTGGGAGCGTATTGTGACAATCCAGAAGGGCCATGAAAAGGCCACTCCAGCAAGACAGCAGAGAAACTGCTTCCGGATGTGACTCAGAGCGGTCACCAATAGCATAGCTATGTACAGTAGGAATAATATTGGTAATACAAATGTGTGTTTATAGTGTTTGATCTATCCAGTATTTACATGTATTTGCTAGTCTGTTTCCATTTTACTCCTAAGAAAATTGAAATTGAAGCAGTAGTCTGAGGTCACATAGCTCATAAGTGGTAAACTGGTTTTTTTGGGCTCAGAAAACTTCGAGGAAAAGACTTGGGTATAAGTAATTCATTTGGGAGGGAATTCCAGGACATAATCAATGGAGATGTGAAACTTAAAATAGAGGAACGGAAAGAAGAAAATAGAAATGGACCCAGCAAGGCCTTTGACATGGTGGGCAAGTGAACTCAGTCTTGCTGGGGAACTCTGGAGGATGGCAGAGCACTTGTTAGTTATTATTCTGACTTACAGGCAAGGGCACTGAGGCGTTTACCTATGGATTTCTAATCTGTCATTGGTTGGTGCTGCTTTGGGGACTTTAACTCTCCACCCGTCCTGCTTGGCCTATGTTCAGGCTGATCATGCTCTGCAGGTACTTGCTAAAAGCAGACCCCAGGGCCAGCGGCAACAACCAAGGAGTGTAGACAAGGAACCAGCAGAGTCTGATACAACATCCTCATTCCACTCAGAATAACCCCAGAAATAATTGCTAATTCCCCCTTTTACTCTCAAAAGTGACTGCTTTGAATGATGGTTTGCAAGGCTACTCTGAATAGAATGGACAGAGTTTCACATTCTGAACTATGTGTGTCTTGGTCACTTTCTTCATCCTTGGGACAAGATACCCAATGTCTGAAACTTAAAGGAGGAAAGGTTGATTTTGGTTCATGTTTATACTCCATGGTCAACTGGCTCCAAGGCAGGGCAGCAAGTCCGAGGGACATGGCCGAGGAAAGCTGCTCATGTCATGGTTGTTGGGAAGCAAAGTGTCAAGGGAGGACCCAGGACAAGAGATGTACCCTTCTAGGTCACTCCCACAGTGGCCTGCCTCTTCCGACCAGACCCCACTTCTTAACAGCAAATCAGTCTTAATGCTCCCATAATTCAATCATCTCCTCAAAGCCCAACCTGTGATGGAATGAGGCTTTCAGGGTGTATCTAGAAGTAAACTATAACAATGTGGCTCCAGAACCTCTGTGTTTTGCCTCCTTCCCAGCCTCTGTGAGTGTCTCTGTAGCTTTGCTCATCAGAGGCAGCACTAGCCCCATGTGAGGAAGTCGAGGACTGAAAGATGCAGATGCAGGTCCTGGAAAGGCCGTGGAGCTGTGCTCCCCGGGAACTACAGCGTTTTTCCAGGTAGGTCCTGGGCTATACCTCAGTGCTGCACATGGTGCCTATTAACACGCAAGTTGTTGGGTCCTGTCCCCAACTTACTGAGTCGAAATCTGTGGGCTGTGGGTCCGATGATCTGCGTGTTGAATGCTCTCTCTGGCTAATTCTTCTGCACAGTAAAGTTTGAAAACTACAGGCCCAGCAAAGCAAGATAATGAGTGTTAGCATTATTTATTTATTTTGAGAAGTAGCAAAGTAGGGTGGTTAATCGCAGGGTCTCTGAGTGGGCTTGGCTGGTTCACATGCCAGGTCTGTCGCTTATGGCTAAATGATCTTGAACCAGTTACTGATCTTTATTCCTCACTGAAAGGATGTGGATAATAATAGCATCTACTTCATCAGGGCTGTTACGAGGATTAGGCAAGTTAATCCATATAAAGCCCTTAGAACAGTGCTGGGCACGTAGCAAACACTTGAAAATGTTAGCTAGTGTTATCACTGACTTTCAGCATTATACCAGGGATCTTACCTAGGCTGTGATATTAATCCTCAAAACAAGCCTACGAGAAAGGTATTATTAAGGATTTGGGGCAAATAATTTATCCTAGGCCTGAAGGTTAAACCACAAACTGGGGTGGGGTGGAATATGACCCCAGTTTTGGTACATCAGCCTCCCAAGTCCTAGCTCTCTCCCTGACATCAAGCTGCCCTTGGCAGGCTCATTCCCTATATCCACTGTGGCATCCTGTTTTTCGCCCCAGCCCTTGGGTCCACCAGGGGCTACTGGGCATGGAGAAGAGGGAGGCAGCGTATTGGTAAGCACTGACCTGCTGCATCCTGACTGCCTTGGCCAGGCTGGAGCGGCTCCCTGGGATCTGGTTAGCAGCTAATGATCAGTGGGCTCTGGCTATAATGATCGGATTAGCTGCGCTTTAATCACTGCCTATTGTTTCAGCAGGGAGAGAATTTCACAGCTCATTGACTGCTCTGACTCCTAATCTACACGGAGGAAACAATGTTGCAGCTCATCAAATGCAATCAGCTGCTAATTGAAAGGAAATGGAATTTTACAATTACAGACCACCTTTCAGTGCTCAGGATTTCTAAGCATTTCTCCCCACCCTCCTTTGCCAGCTCAGCACTGGCAGGAGCACTTGACAACCTGCTAGAGACTTCCCTGAGAGCTGTATTTAGGACCTGGCCCATTTCTCCCTAGCTCCAGAGCAGCAGCAAAGGGAAGCAGTGTCCTCCCCAATTCCTGGGCTGTCCTTCAAGGCTTAGTGCAAGGAAAAACTTCAGAGCTGGACATTGGAAGAATTGAGTGTTGGTCCTGCTTCGCCCCCCTCCCATGCCCTATGGCAGTTCGACCTTGGAAAAGTCCCCTTTGCTGTCTGTGCCTCACTCTCTTCTCTGAAATCAAAGTTGACTTCAGTGACCTCCAAAGTTATCATCAGTTCTGATGATTCTGCCTGCCCTGTCCATGCTGCTTTCCCTACACAGTGGAACACACTGAATGGACACCCTTATTTCTGGCCCAGATGCTGCTTCTCCAAATGCATCTAGGGTAGATGGTCTTAGGTCTCCCAAAGGAATTTTCCTGATGAGATTTTAATGGGACAGAAAGCAAATCTGTCCTACTCAGCCTTCTGATCAGACATCTCTGTCTCCCTCCTGGTTCCATTTACTCCCTTGGATGAATATCAATTACGATTAATTCTAAAAACAGCCACTTAGATTTTTCTGGGTTCTGTCTTTTTCCCAGTGAGATTGTAGTGAGAAGGCTGGGATGAGGGCGGCCAGCCAGGAAGAGCATTGCTGCTTTGACCCTGTCTCTAAGCCCCATTTCCAGCCTGCGTTTCCTCTGAGAACAGGACGGACCAGCATCTGCTCGGAGCTCTGGTCTATGTCATCCCACAGTAACACTTGTTCTGTCCAGGAACACATCCGAGGCTCCTGTAACCCTGCAGTGCCATTTTCATGGTTCCCAGGCTCTGTGGCTTGGTCTGATGAGCTTATCAAACAGACACTGCAGTCTCACCAGTTTTCTTCAGGCAGATGAATTACAGTGTCTCAAACACACACACACACAGACAGTCAAAAATACTTTTTGTTTGCCAAAGATTCAGTCTCAGTCCTGTCTCTCTCTCTCTCTCTCTCTCTCTCTCTCTCTCTCTCTCTCTGTCTCTATCACAAGGACATCGCAGCAGGGCCTTAGCCTGACTTGTGGCCAAGAGAAATGTGCCAGAGAGAAGAAGAAAAGCAGCCCTGGGCTGGCTGGGGCTCGCCTCTTCACCTGCAAAGTGTAGGAAGGAAGCTTTCGGAAATCCTAGCTATAGGGAAGGCTGAGAGGGGTGAGAGCAAAGGTGAGGACTGAGTTAGAACCAGTGGGGAGAAACAGGAAGGAAACTCTGGAGCTGGGGTCTGTGGCATCATGTGAAAGGGATGGGAGCTGAAAGTGAGCCCAGGCTGGAGGCAGAGAGGACTATGGGGCAGATTCCATCTGTATGTCCATTAGCCAAGGGGCTTGGGTTCAGAAAGCCAATGTGCAGGGGAGAGTGATCGCCAAGGGTCAGAGCAGAAGGGCCCCCAAAGGAGGGTAAGAGCACTGGGGATGCCAAGGCATAGTGCTCATGCTCAAAGGGCTGGTAAACACTGCCACCCCTTGGTACCAGCCACCATCCTAGTAGATGACAGATGGTTGTTCAGAGGCCTGGGCCGGGTCAACCACTGGAGGTGGAGTGGGCACCAGGAGAAATTTCATTTGGAATAGGACATTCTGAGAGACCAAAAATAGTCTCCCTATGGTATTTCAGAGATACTGTTGAAGGCACTGGGGCCTTCATTAAGAGCCCAAAATGTGCTGATTTGTAGACAGGACAGGATAAAGAGAATCCAGGATTCTA